GACAACTGGTGGAGGAGACTGCGGTGGAGGAGAAGACCAGACCGCCGGACTGTCGTCAGGAGGAGGAAACGTGGGACCAAACGCTGGAGGGGACGGAGTGTGAACAGGAGGAGAGGAGGGAAGACCAAGGGCCCGAAGGCCACTCACGGGTGGGAACAACTGCCGCTCCCGAGGGAGCTGCGGTGGTCGCGGCTGCGGCGGCAGTGTCTGCTGCTGCGGCGGCTGCTGCTGCTGCTGCTGCTGCTGCTGCTACTCCAGCAGGTCCAACTGTCGAAACTCCTGCCGCTCCCTCTCCAACAGGACCTGCTCCTCACGCTCACGTCGACGGGCCGCCTGGAGACGCGTGTCGTGGCGGTGGGGAGGCGGAGTGGACTCCGCAGAACCAGTGTCTCCAGCTCCAGTCTCCTCAGAACCAGCACCTCCAGTGCCAGCGCCTCCAGCACCAGCACCCCCAGAACAAGCACCTCCAGTGCCAGGCTCTCCAACTCCAGCACCCCCAGAACTAGCACCTCCAGTGCCAGCACCTCCAGCTCCAGCACCCCCAGAGCTAGCGAAGGGGATGGGGGGAAGCAGGGAAGGGGATGGGGGGGAGCAGGGAAGGTGATGGGTGGAAGCAGGAAACGGGATGGGGGGAAGCAGGAAAGGGGATGGGGGGAAGGGGATGGGTGGAAGCAGGGAAGCGGATGGGGAGAAGCAGGGAAGGGGATGGGGGGAAGCAGGGGGGGAAAGTAGGAGATGTCTTCGCATCTCGCCTCCCCCTGTCTTCGCATCTCTCCTCCCCCTGTCTTCGCATCTCTCCTCCCCCTCTCTTCACATCTCTCTTTCCCTAGGGTGAAATGAGGGGAATTACAGGGGGTAATGATCGGAAACCAAGGGGGGGAATTAGGGGATTCCGACGGGGAAAGTGAGGGGGGGATGACGAGGGAGCAGAGGGGAAAACGATGGCAAGCAAAGGGGGGAATGAGAGGGAGCAAAGGGGAAAATGATGGGAAGCAAAGGGGGGACTGAGAGGGAGCAGTGGGGGAAATGATGGGAAGCAAAGGGGGGGATGAGAGGGACCAGAGGGGAAAATGATGGGAAGCAAAGGGGGGAATGAGAGGGACCAGTGGAATAAATTTATGTTTATCGCAACCCGTCGTGCGCACCTAACCGGGGCGGCGGGGAGAATGAGGGGCAAGACAAGGGGGGTGCGGAGAAGGGAAAGGGGGATGGAGAGGAGGGTACGGAGACAGGAATGATGGGGAGCATTTGTGCGTATGCTCACCTGCAGTTCACACCCGCTGCACTCGCTAATCACCTTTCCCTTCCCGTCATGTCATGTCCCTTACCCATCCCGTCGCGTCCCCTCCCGTCCCGTCCCTTCCCGTCCCGTCCCTTGCCGTCGCATCCCGTCCCTTCCCGTGGCGTCCCCTCCAGTCCCTTCCCTACCCGTCCCGTCTCGTCGCATCCCGTCCTTCCCGTCACGTCCCATCCCGTCCCTTCCCGTACCGTCCTGTACCCGTCTCGAGCCGTCCCTTTGCGTCGCGTCTTGTCCCTTCCCGACGCGTCTTCTACCTTCCCTTCACGTCCCGTCCCTTCCCGTCCTGCCCCGTCGCGTTTCTTCCTGACGCGACCAATTACCAGGACATGGTTCACGATCTGCAAGAAGATCTACCCTGGTCGCCGCTACTAATCGATAAATGGAACCCTAATTTCAAGTTTGTAAGTCAGTCGTATATGCTGATCACTAAAATTCTATCTATTGTCCAAGAGGTAACCTCGGTTGCAAGTGGAAGGCGTTTTACACTTGGACCTGTGCCTAATACCATCGAAATCGAGCTTTCGAGTTCTGAAGTCTCATATTTTTGGGTTGCGTAGCAACCCCTTTACAATTGGTAGCACTTATTTCGGTCGACTCAAATGAACAGTGCAGTTTTTGTCTTTTTTCCAACGCTCGAAGCACTCGATTTAACGTTTAAAAAAAACGGGTGCTCCAAACACGTCGAGATGATGGCACTGATACATACGAGTCTCCAAAAAAAGTGAAACCAAATGTAACCAATCATTCCATAATCGTCGATAAATACGGCGACTGGAAGAATTGGTCGTCATGTTTTTACCTACATAAAGCAGAACTGACGAGACGAAACACAGTGGATGCACATTATGGTACTTGCATCCATTGAACACGTACAAAAACGACAACACATGACAACTGTGACTGTCATAAAATGAATGCTAAAATGCATCGGTACTACAATAGCGATGGATCCGCTATGCTAAGGCGAGCAACGCTGCCCCAACAACGATCCCCACCTCAATTGCAGGGCCGACACACTTTAACATCACACCTTACAAAAAAAATGAACGAGCACATAACAAAAACGACAACACATAACAATTGAAGCGTCTTGGGGAGAATGCTAAAATGCATCGATGATGCAACAGAGATTGGTCTGGCACGCTAAGGCGATTGCCCCACCGGCGATCACAACCTGAGTTGCATACACGAGGCACTTCAGCACACGCCTTGAGACAGACACAAACAACTGTACATATCTCACACACAGGCTCACAAGCACACGTACACACCGACACAAACGCACACACTGACACACACGCAAACAAGCACAGAAACATGCAGATAATAATAAACACGCAACCATCATGAAATTCGGCTATTCATAAATCATCGCTAGCCAATTACCCCTTACCGTCCCTACAACCCTCCCTCCCTCCCTCCCTCCCTCCCTCTTTCCCTCCCTCCCTCCCCCTCTCATCTCCCTCCCACTGCCTCCCTCATCTCCCTTCTCCGCCAATCAAAATTAAAGAATGCAGCTCCCGCGCCCTGCACAAAGCAAAATCAGAGAATGCAACACACATACCCGGCACAAGAAAGAAAAACCAAGAGTACACCTCACATCATTGCTACAAGAGAACAAAAACAGAGAATGCAGCTCACACATGCACTAGAGACGAAACAAGCACAATAGAAAGAGCTGTTTAAGAACGCATGGATCAATAAAAAATGAGCAATGGTTTTCACAACTTACAAAGGTAAACTGGTATCAGTCGTGGCACCACAGATACTACGCCAGCATGATGCGATCCCTTGCAGCCTCCCTCGTGTTCAACTTCACACTCACGTTCACACTCACTATTGTATTCAATCTCGCACCCACTCACACCCGCACAAATACTCCCAACTTTCTTCGACACACTCATATAAACACGCATAAGAACCTACACGCTCACTTTGGCACTTACCCTCGCACTCATAAGCGTTATCACTCATGCTCGCTCGCACTAACCATCGCTTTTGCAGTCACATTCACTCTCGCACGTGCTCTCACGCTTGCTCTCGTTCTCATTCTCACCCTCGCGCTCACCCAAACACTCATCCTCGCACTTGCTCTCACATTCACCCCCATACAAACACTTACACGCACCCTTGCGCTCACCCTCGAGTGCATGCGCGCACTCACTCTCGCAGTCACACCCGCCTTTGCAATCGGATTCAAAACCGCACTCGCACCCTCGCACTCTGTCGTACTCACTCTCGCAACAACTCACGTCACATAATTAATTTCAGCCGTTCTTAGACACACTAACAGAAACACACACACACCCTCGCACTCACCTTTAAATTCGCGCTTGCGCTCACTCTCGAACTCACTCGAACGCTTTCACAAAAACACGCACACAAAGTCGCCCACACCCTCAAACTCAACTCACACTCACACCCACACTCATGCTCACAATTGCCCTCGTACTCACACTTGCACTCACTCTCCTACTTGCCCTCGCACACACCATCTCACACACCCTCGCACTCACACCCGCGATCACACTTGCGCTCAACATCGCAGTCTCCATCACACTTACTCTCGCACTCACACTCACGCGCACCCTCATGCGCACCCTCATGCGCTCTCTCACGCGCTCTCTCACGCGCTCTCTCACGCGCACTCTCACGCGCATTCTCACCCGCTCTCATGCGCACTCTCCCCCGCACTCTCACGCGCTCACTAGCGCGCTCTCTCACGCGCTCTCTCGCGCGCCCTCTTACGCGCTCTCTCACGCGCACTCTCACGCGCACTCTCACCCGAACCCTCACGTGCTCTCTCGCGCGCTCTCTTACGCACTCTCTCACGCGCTCTCTCACGCGCTCACTCACGCGCTCACTCACGCGCTCTCTCACGCGCACTCTCGCGCGCACTCTCGCGCGCTCTTTCCTGCGCTCTCTCACGCGCTCTCTCACGCGCTCCCTCACGCGCTCACTCACGCGGTCTCTCACGCGCACTCTCACGCGCTCTCTCACACGCACTCTCACGCGCACTCTCACGCGCTCTCTCGCGCGCACTCTCGCGCGCTCTCTCGCGCGCACTCTCGCGCGCTCTCTCGCGCGTTCTCTCGCGCGCTCTCTCCCGCGCTCTCTCCCGCGCTCTCTCACGCGCTCTCTCACGCGCTCTTTCACGCGCTCCCTCACGCGCTCACTCACACTCTCTCTCACGCGCACTCTCACACGCACTCTCACGCGCACTCTCACGCGCCATTCACGCGCTCTCTCACGCGCTCTCTCACGCGCTCTCTCACTCGCCCACGGTGCCAGCACCCTCGAATCGCGCCCCCACGGCGCAAGCGCCTAAGCGCAAGTGCCTATGGCACAAGCGCGCACGGGTACTTTCGCTCCTGCCTCTCCATCCCACGCTCCCACCTGCACGCTCTGCCACCCTCTCTTGGCTCTCACACGCAATCTCTTGCGTGCTCGCTCTCATGCGCACGCTCCCCTCGCGAACCCCTCTCGTTCTACTTCAAATGGGACTGCAATGCAAGAGACTAAGACACAAGACATACGACGAGAGCAAAAAAAAAAGAAAAAAAAAAGATGGGGAGGGAGGATGAAAGGACCGGGAACACACCTGATAACCACGGTGCCAGAAACCAACCCACGCTCTCGCACCAACCCGCGCTCGCGCACCAACTCGCGGTTGCGCCCGTGCACCTGTCGCCGGAGGCGACTACGGGGTGGGAGGGAGAGGCGACGGCGGGGAGGAGGGAGAGGCGACGGCGGGGAGGAGGGAGAGGCGACGGCGGGGAGGAGGGAGAGGCGACGGCGGGGAGGAGGGAGAGGCGACGGCGGGGAGGAGGGAGAGGCGACGGCGGGAGGAACGGAGAGGCGACGGCGGGAGGGAGGGAGCGGCGACGGCGCTGTGGGAGGGAGAGGGGATGGCGGGGTGGAATGGAAAGTGGATGGCAGGGTGGGAGGGAGCAGCGATGGAAAGGTGGGAGGGAGAGGCGATGACGAGGTGGGTGGGAGGGTGAGGCAACAGGTGGTGGGGAAGGGGAAGCGATGAAGGGGTGGGAGGGAGTGCCTCCAAACAAGAAACTACAGTAACCGAAATATGAGAAGGGAGGAGGCATGAAACACAACACGAAAAAGACGATGGGGCAAAACGAAAACACTGAACAGAATTTGCGCACCTCCCAGAAAAAGACGACGCATGAAACACTTCGTATATAGAAACCCGAAAACGATGGGGCAATCTGAAAGCCAGCACAGAACTTGGGCACTTGGAATCTAAAAACAAAAAACCAAACGCTGATGCCACGTGAGAACACACGCATAATCACGTGGAATTTGTGTGAGCTGGAAACACACTTTTGCTAGAACAAGAACCTGGTAGTTCAGTGTTACAAAATATCATATTGAAGATATAAAACATAGTTGTTCACTAAATTTAAATAATACTTAATAGAAACAATCAATGGCTCTATATAAATTCACCCATATTTTAGAAACGAAATCATAAACAATCACTTTATTCCATAATAAAGAACTAGCTAGCCTGTCATATTCGTTAACACATGAAAATTAAACTTGGTGCTATATAAATACATTAAATAGCTTGTCCTCATGTTCTGTAAAATATGAATGTAACATCTACGCAACCCTTCCGGCGTTAACGTCGAATCTTGTTCAGCTTTGTAAATGGTTGATCGGTGCTGCACCCTGGTCGCAGCTGGGGTTGTCTCGGCGACCATGTTTGTCGCCGAATGAATAATCGTGCAGGCGTGTTTCCCCAAGCTGGGTGTACTGTCGCATGCTCGGTTTGGCACGTTTCTCCGCATCCCGCCAAGGAAGGTTGTGGGTGGCCAACCAACCTTTTCAACCTGGGCCATTCTTCAGTGCAGTTGTGCGACAGTCTGTGGGTTACCGGATACCAAGCGTTTAACACTTGGTTGGGAACACAAAATCTGAGACGCGAGCTTTAAGAACGGAGTGCAACGGAATGTATGAACTAAGAAAGTGTTGGATACAAATAGGAAACCCTAATATCTGTACCCTCTAGAGTGCATCTCACTACAGCCTATAACTATGATATTTGACATCTTGCAGCCTCTGATCAGGCTTGTCAAACTGCATTTGTTATCTCTAGGTTGTAGTGGGGCATACTCTAAGGAGTACAACACATTAGATCATTCCTAGTACTTGTACTCATGCTTGCCTACTAGCCAGACCCTCAGATATCAGGGTTTTTTCCCCGAAATTCCTGATTTTCAGCCTACTTTTCTGTACAGGGCCTGTGCTAGGATTTCGGGCATCCTGAGCCCTCAGGGCAACTTTTGAAAATTCTCAATAATGCCCTGATTTTTCAGGGCAAAATTCTATGGCCATCCTGAAATTTCAGGGCACCAACAGGAGTTCATCTTGATCTCTCAGGGCAAAAATTCACAAGACATGAGAGAGGTGGAGGGGAAGGCACGATATGAGTGGGAAGCCCGATGCATGCATGGTACGGTACGACGAGGAAGCGGCGAGATCCTCGGGAGGAGACAAAACCAGTACACACACCCCCCTGCCCCTTCCCCCCTCTTCCCCATCCCCCCCCACACCCCTTCCCCTTCTGCATACGCGTCAGGGCAGTCCTCGACCTTCGTCCTAATGCTTCAGGGCAAAATCTCACGGTCTTCCTGAAATTTCAGGGCTCAGCACAAAAAAGTATCCTGAAGTCACAGGGTAAAACATACCATCATCCTGAAATTGCAGGGAAAACTCCTGACACCATCATGAAATCAGGGTAATCAGGATCTTTTACCTTGATATCGTGGGGCCTGTTTCTGTACCTACACTGATTTTTCAGAATTTTAATTTTAGTGACACTGATTTTTCAGCCTTTATTTCATACATAACACTGATTTTTCAGCCTTTTATCGAATGTGTACTCTGAATGCACATTCCCCATCCTTCCTGCAAAACACCGGAGATTATGGGGACTCGAACATTTCCGCTGTGTTTCCATATAAACATGTCAGAACGGATATCATTTTCCAGTGTGAACGGCCTCAGACGTTTAGGGAATCACTACCGAAGTGCAAGATCCCAGGTTCGAGACACATTGCTGTCATGTTTGTGTAGAAATCAGGCTTTTTTTTTTAGTAACCCTGAAAATTCAGGCTTTTTTTTTTTAGGAAGGCTGTCAATCAGTCTTTTTTCTCACATGGACACTGATGGATCAGGGTACTTAAAAATGAATATGAGGCCTTGTTACTAGTCAATCACTCCTACGTTCTACTTCTGACAAGGCTCTCCTCAAACCAGGCTCTCGATAAGTGAACAGCGGAATGAATTGACTAAGGTGGATGAAACATACAAGTACAAAACCTTATACCCCTTATTGTGTGCCCCACTATAGACTAGCAAGCATATAAGTAGTTTTGACACACCCACATAGGCTAACTAGGGGACAACAAGAAGGAGCAAGGAAGGAACACAAATGGTCACAAGACCAGTCAAGAGAAGCAACAAGACTGTTACAATCCCAAACAGGACTTAGCCAGGGATCGGCTCAGGGTTGATCGCATGTAGTTTGTTGCAGCAGAAGTGTTGACCTCACGTCAGAGTGAATGTAAATGATTGTGATAATAGAAAGCATGCATACATTGAGTTTATATAGGAAATACAAAGGGATACGAAATGACCTAGACTAGCCATGTACACTAAGGGGTACATTCTCTTATTACAGCGAAGTTCAAACCGTGCGGCGCGGGAACCCGTTTCAAACATGTTCCCGCTCTTTTCACTTCAAATGTTTCTGCCTGCATCGGTCTTGATCTGACGGTTGCTGGTGTCGCTTCGACTCTTCTAACTCCTCGACTTCGTAATCGGTAGAGTCAGCTCCTAGTGTACAAAAATGTATTCTCATTAAGTTTCATATCATAACAAAGACAAAGCTCAGGGTGGATCACAAAGTCATCACAGATTCTGAGCACAAGCAAGCGGCGGCAAGGCCAATATAAGAGTTCACAGATATATAATGTACCGTATATGTAAATACAAGCAAATCAAGAGACAGGAAACAAGAGGCAAGACTACAGCAACCGAGGGCCTGCCTCAACAAGGCCTAACTGCAGACAGAACCTGTGGTGGTCACCAGGCGGAAGGGACTTGGTGAAAATGTCTGCAGTGTTCCCCGCTGAGGCCACGAAGTCCAAGCGTACCTGGCCGCGTCGCTGCAACGTTCGTAGGAGAAAGTACCTCACGTCGATGTGCGTCATTCTGCTCTCCAGTCAAGGCTCTTGACACACGAGGATCATGGCCTTGTTGTCAGCGAACAAGGTCGGTGCAGAGCTCGGCCGCTCAACAAGGTCGGTGAGGAAGAAGGTCAACTAGCAAAGCTCATGCGCAGCCATGGCACCGGCGTAGATCTCAGCCTCTGCGTTAGACTGCGCCACAGACGACGACCGTGTAGACCTCCACGACATAGCTCCAGTGGCCAAGCTGAAGTAGTAACCCTGATTATACCTCTAAGTCTGCACGTCGTCGGCGTAGGAAGAGTCGCAGTGACTGGTCAGCACAACTGGCTCTGTCCCTCCAAGCACAAGCCCCATGCCTGATGTAGTTGCAAGGTCCTTCGCCACGCTCACAGCAGCCATCTAGTGAACAGTTGTACCAAAGCGGGACAGGACGCTGAGGGGGAAAGCGAGGTCCGGACGAGTAGAGGTCATCAGGTATATGAGGCAGCCCACAAGATTTGTGTAGGGACCACTGGACTCAAAGCAATCGTCGGGAAGAGGGCCGGTGAGTCTGTGGTCGACTGCAAGAGGAGTGGGCTGTGTGGTGGAGAACTGAAGCCTGAAACGCAGAAGGACCTGCTGCACCATGCGTGACTGAGAGAGTGTAATGGTTGAGCTTCTCTGTCCATGGTAATCTGCAAGCCAAGGTAGCGGTGCAGCTCACCCAGGTCAGTGCACGTGTTTCTCTTCTGCAGCTCGGATGTCACCTCAGCCAGAGCGACACTGTATGGTGTAGCGAAGACCATGTCGTCGACGTAGACAAGAACAAATAACAGAGTGGAAATAGTGCGAACAAAAAGCGACAGGTCGTCTGACAAAGGACAGAACCCGAGGCCAGCAAGAGTGGTGCGTAACGTGTCGTGCCGCTCACGGGGCGTCTGGCGGAGCCCGTAGACTGGTCGCCTCAGGCTCCACTGGGTCCTAGGTGGGAAAGTGCTGGTGAAGCCAGGAGGGCGGCGCAGCCAGATCTCCTCGCGTAGGCGGCCCTGGAGAAAGGCATTGGAGAAGTCGAGGGAGTGCAGCTCGTAGTAACGCTGTGTTGCCACGTGCAGTAACACCCGAAGAATAGTCAACTGCCTCACGCTGATTGAAGCCCCTAGCCACGTAGCGCGCCTTGAAGACAGGCGATGATCCCGGCGGCCGCTTCACATTGAAGATCCACATGTCATCAACTACGTTCGGCCCAGGCGGGGGAACTGCGTCGACATAAGTGCCTGTGGATCTCCAAGACGCCATCTCCGTATCCATGGCTTCTATCCACTGAGAGTTCCACGGTCCCGACACTGCCTCAGTGTAAGTACGAGGAGCCGAAATGTCTGGAGCGTTAGGGTCTCCCTTAGGGGCTAGCAGCATGGCACAAAGATGGGGAGAAGCGGCTCCAAGGAACTCTAGCTCAAACTGCCTGTCCTCTAGGACGTCACAGCCAAGGGCAGCCTCACCGCCGGCAGACAAAGGACGGGTAGGAGGAGCACCCACCAAGCGGGTACGTAGTCAAGGCGGCGGGTGGCGGCAAAGTCAGTGACAGCAGAAACAAGTGCTTGCGACAGACGACGGAGAGGCAGTAGGGTGTCTCACGAAAGAGGAGAGAACGCGTGAGACAACAAGGCGAGCATCATGGTAGTAGTCTGTGATAGGGTGAGAGGAGGCCGTAAGAGACGATTCAGGAGGTAACGGGAGAACAGACTGAGGTGGAGAACGATGAGGAATCGAACGCAACAAGACAATACGCAGGTCGTCAACAGGAGACATGGGAACGGGAGGGACGACAAAGGGCCCAGAAGTGCGGGACGACAGGGGGACACGACTGTGACCGAGGAGGAGAGAAGACAGCCGGGGACGAGTTCGGCGGAGTAAGTCCGTATGCAGTAGGAGGTGGTGAGTGGTCCGGGGAGGAAGAAGGGAGAGCAAGGGCTCGGAGGCCACTCACAG